ATTTTTTCTAAATAAAAGTTTTCTTAACTTTAAATTTAAATATTTTGTCAACTATCTTATTAAATCTAATAAATTTTTTTTTATTTTAATTTCAGGTAATTCTAGAATTATAATAAAAAAAAATTTATCAAAATTAGTTAAGTAGTTGTCAAGAAATTGTAATTTAAAAATTAAAAAAATTCACTAAAAATGATTTGTCCCATTTCTACTGACTCCCCCCCACATAGTTTAAAGAACTGTTTGAGACTTATATATATCTTTGAAAAAACAACTTGGTCTGCTTAACAATGTTAAAGACTAAAGAATTAAAAGTCATATTCAAGTTCAACAATGCAGAATTAAGAACAAAGAACAACAAATTTAGACTAGTGAGTATTCTAGAGAAGAATTTTACTTTACTGGTAGCAGCAATGCTTAGAAAATTTAACATAATATCATTTAAACAACTATTAATATATTTAGGAGACTATATAATAATATAGAAGCAACTTAAGATGCTAAGAAATAAATCAAGCAGAGGAAAAAGTGCAACATAGTTTTATATAATCGAATAGTAATTGAAGAGAAAGAAAGTAGATTAGTTAAGACAAATTATAGACTAGAAAGCCTAGCGTTTGGGCACTTCAGATTACATCAGATTTATTAGAGATAAACAAAAAAAAGAGTAGATATTGGTTAAAGTTAGGGAAGCAAAAGAAGATCATTACTTAGAAATCAGACAAACTCTCAACAAATCAAAAAAAAGAATTCTTACAGAATATTAAAGAGTAAATGAAGACCTAGTTACAAGAAGTACAAGGTTTAAAGATATGAAAATTGTGAACTTGACCAAAAAAAGAAAAAAACTTTTGCAAAAGCTGAATAAATAAAGAGAAAATTCAAGGCTCTATAACAAAACTTATAGATAAACAGAAAGAAAAAGCTCTTAAAGTTCATCACAAAATGCTGTTTTTTCCAGTAAATTGTAATAAATTAAAGATTCTTATAAATGAGAAAATAATGCAGGATATTTAGATTTATAATTTAGATATAGAAATTATTAAAAACTAACAAAACAGCTTAGCTTTACAGAATTATCTAATAGAAAAGAACCAAAAATTACAATGCAGCTCCTTAATACAGTTCTCTTTCTATACTGATGGTTCTTTAAGAAGAAGCAAAAAAATAATTTAAGCAAAGACAGATAAAATAGAAGCGAGCTGAGTATTTTTAGATGAAAAAAAGGAAAAAGTCATTAATGAAGGATATCTCAAAGCAAAAAACTGACCATTTTTAACAAAAACAGAACTACTGGAAATTTGGTGTATACTTTTAATTATGCTAAAGAAAAAGAAGACCAAGATCTATACAGATAGTGCAGTAACATTAACTAGATTAAAAAGTAGAAATTAGAATAAGCTAGCAAGACAAAGGCTAAGAGTAAAAAATTATGATTTAGTAAAATATATTATAAATATAGCAAAAGTAAAGAAAATATAGTTAGAATTAGAAAAGATAAAAAAGGTATAATAAAAATAGGTAGAATGATATAATAAATAAATTAGTAAAGATAGAATCTAGAATAGTAAATAGAGAGAGAATTATAGAGAAACCTCTACAAGAATCAAATATTTTTTTATGCTAAGAAGGAACAATAATAAAAGCTTTTACAAGAGAATTTTTACAAATAATGCTTAAATTTAAAATAGAGATAGAATAAGAATCTATATCAGCAATTAAAAAAGTAGAACTTAATAATAATGAACAATTCTAAGATTAGCCTATTTTATTAGAAACCAAAATAAAATTAGATGTACAAGTTCAAAAAAGAATAGACATTTAAAGTGCTAGTTAAATGCTTATATAAGAAGTTTCCAGTTCTTGAAACCTTGTAAACTAAAAAGCCAGATTTATATAATAGCCCAACATGTATAGTATATGCAAGAGGTAAAGAAAAAGATCAAGAACATTTAACTATATATAAGAAGTATAAACAAAGTAGATAGAAACAGATAGTTAGCATTGAACTTAGCCTAAATAGTCCTCTCAGAAAAAATCTGCAATCGTCTTGACAAGACTCAACTTAAAAACACTTTATAAGATTCGACAAAAGAAGAAAAGAATAAAGCAAGAGCTGGTATACTCAAAAGACTGATTAAAGATAAAATTGTAAAAAAAATTCTCAAAGTGGTGAGAACTCTAAAGAAGTTAGAAACTACTTCAACATGGTAGTTAACTCAGCCTAAAATTACTTTTATGAAAATATTTAGAAGCAGAGATGTGTATTCATTAATAAATAGGAAAAAAAAAATAAAAGGAAAAGAAGAAAAAAGAGAAATAAAAATCGAAAAAACATTTATTAGTATTAAGGAGGCAGTTTCAAATTGTGAAGAATGTAGTCAGAACTAAGAGCAAACCAAGAGAAAAGTTAAAAAGAAAGAAGAAATTAGTAAAGAGAAGAGAGTTTATAAAAAAGAAAGTACTTTATTTGCTGCAGGTAAAAACTTTATTATAAATAGTATGAAGCTATTTTAGTATAACTTCAATAGCTAGCTTGGTGCAGCTTTCTGATACAAGCAGAAGCTTTAACTAATATAGCAAACTGTTCTTAGGTAGCCAGAGAATGTCAGATTTATAACTTAAATAGTTAAATATATGTATATATATGCTTTGATCTAATAAAGATACCAGCAATGCTGCTAATAGTTCAAAAATATATATTTTTTTTATTTTAAAAAATAAGTTATAAGAAATTTAAAATTTATAAATAAAAGTTGATGGCTTTTTGTGATAACAACTATAGTACTTATTGTAACTGATTTTTAATAATATCTAAATATATTGTGTTTGCTCTTTTCAACTCTGATAACAATGTCTAATACTATATATTCTATTAACAGTACCTATATTAGTTGATTTTAATAATATAAAAAACCTTGTGTTTGTTTTTTTTAACTATAATTCCATATTAATAATATATATTATATGTTCCATATCGAATAGTTTTTGATAATGTCAAAGTTCCTTGTATTTATACTTTTCAACTCTAATTCTATACTAATTATGATGTTTAATATCATATATTATAAATTATATATAAGGTCCTAGTTTTTATACCTCCAAATTTATTATTTATACTCCCCTGCAGATTTAACTTTTTTTTAAACTTTAAACAAAGATATCTTAGTAATTACCAACCAAATTTGATAAACTTTTTTCTTTAAATTCTATAGATTCATAAAATTCAAATAAAAAGAAGTTCATCAAATTTGACCTAATAGTTATTGAGATATTTTCACTCAAAGTTTAAAAAAATCAAAATATCTATCAAAACAAATAATGCAAAATTTTCTTTAAACTTCAAGCAAAGATATCTCAACAACTACCCAACCCAAATTTGATGAACTTTTTTTTGTTTGAATTCTATAAATCTGTAGAATTCAAATAAAAAAAGTTTAGTAAAATTAACTTAGTAGTTGGTAAGTTATCTTTGCTCAAAGTTTTTAAAAAAAATCAAAAACATATATCAAAACAGAAGCTGTGTCACAATTTTTTTCAAATTTTGAGCAAAAATATCTTAACAACCACCAAGCCAAATTTGATGAACTTTTTTGTTTAAATTCTATGAATTTGTAGAATTTAAACAAAAAAAAGTTCAAATTTGGCTTGGTGGCTGTCAAGATATTTTTGCTTAAAGTTTGAAAAAAATTATGGCACAGCTTCTGTTTTGATAGACATTTTAGATTTTTTTTAAAACTTTGAACAAAGATATCTTGACAACCACCAAGTTAATTTTAATAAACTTTTTTTTATTTGAATTCTACAGATTTATAGAATTCAAACAAAAAAAAGTTCATCAAATATGGCTTGGTAGTTGTTGAGATATCTTCGCTCAAAATTTTGCATTGTTTGTTTTGATAGACGTTTTGATTTTTTTTTCAAACTTTGAGCGAAGATATCTCAGTAACTACTAGGCCAAATTCGATGAACTTTTTTTTATTTGAATTCTATGAATCTATAGAATTCAAAGAAAAAAATTTATCAAATTTGACTTGGTAATTACTGAGATATTTTCGTTCAAAATTTAAAAAAAGTGAAATCTGCAGGGGGTATGAAAAATAAATTTGGGGTATAAAAACTAGGACCCTATATATATTGGAAAATCTATGATAATTCTAAGGCTTTGTGTTCGTCCTTTTCAACCTCGATTCCATATTGACAACATTATATATTACATAAACTGATTATATCGGCTGAGTTTTAATAATTTCTGAAGGCCTTGTGTTCGTCCTTTCCAACTTCAATTTCATCATACTGATAAGATGTTCAACATTATACGTTCTATCAATAGATTCCCACACGGCTAGTATTTGATAATTTCCAATGGCCTTGTGTTCGTTCTTTCAACCATACTGACATTATATGTTCCCTCAATTATCGGCTAGTTTTTGTTAATATTCAAGGGTCTTGTGTTTGTCTTTTTCGACTTCAATTCCATACTGACAACATGTTTCATCAATAAACCCTATATCGGCTGATTTTTGATAATTTCTGAAGGCCTTGTGTTCGTCCTTTAAACTTAAATTTCATACTGATAACGATGTCATCAATACTGTTAGTTTTTGATAATTTCCAATAGCCTTGTGTTTGTTCTTTTCAACTCAATCCCCTACTGATATGTTCCACCAATTATTGACTAATTTTTGTTAATATTCAAGGGTCTTGTGTTCGTCCTTTTCGACTCCAATTCCATACTTGCATTATATATTCCACCAATAGAGTCTATAATGGTGATTATTGATAATTTCCGAAAGCCTTGTGTTTTTCTTATAATATTTATTTGATTATGTAGATAAACATTGATCGATTTTGTTCTACTTACTGGGACTCGTTCTAATGTTTCTAGAATTAAGCGTTCATCTAAAATCTTGTAATAATGGCTAAAATTATGTCATAATTGTTGTGTACTGTTTAATCATTAAGAAATCGCATTTAGGAAGATGTTTGAGAGCGTTCTTTAGATGATAATATTTAAGGTTAGAGTGGATTAAGTAGATTAGAATTTATATAGAACGTTATTAGGTTTTTTTAGAGTTATGGTATGTGTATAGTTTAGGCGATCTGTTAATTTTGGTCAAATAATTTTATTGAGATCTGATGCAAGCGTCATTTTGAGGTATAAAAATAAATAAAATAATACTAGTGTGTACGATATACGTACAGTAGTACGGTATAATATGTATATAAAATAGTATATATTATGCAATATCTGCAATAAATACAAAAATAGTATCACGTGATAGGTATTATATAACGCGGTATTATAAATATAATTTTCCTTTTTTTGTTTCTAGATAAAGTTGGTATTATAACATTGGACGTAATAATCCTGCATTCTTACAATGTTATGGGATAACAAAAGATAAAGCAACTAATGATTACGTATTAGTCATGCAACATGCATTTAAAGGCTCTTTGAGTAAAAATCTTTGTGTTGTTGCACGGATGAAATGGGAAGAGGTATTAAAGAGATTAGCTTGTATTACCCAAGACCTTAAATTTAATTCATTCATATGATATTATTCATCGGGATTTACATAGCGGAAATAATTTACAAAATGATTTCTATAGCGCATATATTGGTGATTTAGGACTATTGTATCAAGATTAGTTAACTTAAAAATAAAATTATGGTAAGATACCTTATATAACCCCAGAAGTATTAAACGAAAAGAAATATACACAAAAGGCCTATATATTTAGTTTGGCGTCATTATGGCTGAAATTTCAACAGGAAACACGCTTATTATGATCAAAAAGATCCAAATTAGACTTGCAATAAAATATGTGCAAACAATCGTCAAATTTTGCATTAGGAGCACCGAAAGTTTACATTAATTTGGAAAATCAATGTATGAATGCAAATGCAAATGAACGTCCTTCAGCCAAAGAAATCCTAGAATGTTTAGAAATTTGGACAGAATATGAAGAGTTCAAGGAAGTTTTTAAAGCTGCTAACCAAAATGTTGATATTATAGCAACAGATTCAGGATCCTTGCCAAATATTTCCATAGATGCTAGATATAAAAGTCAATTAATCAATGCTATTGGCATGTACTGTATTATTAAGGTTTAATATTTAAACTTTTTTTTTTGAATGATTTATTAATTTTTTTTTCTGCTTTTAGGTCCAACTTCAATAGACGAAATTTTTAATTTAGAATTTCAATCATTTAAATATTATTTTGAAAAAAAAATTTTTAACAACATCAAGCGGTATGAAATTTCATGGTTTCCGTTTAAAAATTCTAATATGGCGTACTTACGGATTAGCGTATATTGTATTGATGTAACATATATCACGGGTCAAATTGGTTTTTAGGTCAAGTTAAACTTGACCCGGGTCAAATTGATCAATTAAAAACCCGGCCGGCATCAACATAATTCCGGCCTGCCCTAACCCTAAAATTCTGCTAGGGATCAATTTGACCCGGGTCAAGTTTAACTTGACCTAAAAACCAACTTGACCCGTAACATACAGTATATTGGGATGATCAATGTTTTATCATCTGTATTTACAATTTCGGACATACAAGAATATTTCCTAATAAAATTTATATAGTTTTAGGTAGTTTTAAAAGCCTGCATTTCCATAACAACTGCGACATGAACTTTTATATTTATATTATTAATTCAATTATAAAATACGATTTTATTACCGTTTGAGGTAAAATAAAATTTTAATGTTGTGCTACTGACTTAAAAATTATCAGAAGTAAAAGAATACTTTAAAATATATATATCTGTATATACCTATATCTTATATTTAGGAAATTTCTCATAATTTTAAACCAATGTATATGTTGTAAGTGGAAACGGATTTTAAGTGAAATTTATATATAAAACCCCGTTTTGGGGATGCCACTTACAACATATATATTCAGTATATAAAAATAAACAAAAGTTTGCATACGTATAAACAATTTTCGAAATCTAATGAAAAAATTTTTTGGTAGGAGTTCAATATAAAAATTCCTAACCTAACCTAACTTTAATTTTTTTTTCTTAAATTTTGCATTACATAGATCTACAACTTATTATACGTACTCGCTTATATATATATATATTGTAAGTGGGAATGGAATAATTAGGGTTAGGGTTAGGGTGTACATATGATAAAATAAACCTCAAAACGGAGGTTTTATATATAAATTCCGAATCCACTTAAATTCCATTTCCACTTACAACATATATATTTGAAAAAAAACGAAAATAAATTTAAAGTTTAAGGTCCCAGGTAAAACGAATTCCCAAATTTGACCCTATTGATTCCATATTGCTTACGAATTTTGGCGGCAAAAGAAATCACCAAGATCAAACTCTTCTGGCGTAACAACCAAAATAATCTACATAAATGCTATTTTTGAAATGATTGAATGACTAACGAAAATTTTACTCGTGAATGCTGCGTAGGTATACTTGATTATTTGGCACATTGATCGAAAATCGATACATATATAGGCCAGTGTTGGCATTGGACATATGTCCAATAATTTTTGAAAAAGATTGGACATATAAAATTTTATATGCCCAAACTCGTTCAAAATTATTGCCAATGTATATATATCGACATATATTTTAAACACGTTGACCATTTGATTATAATGTGAAAATTTATATATGGCATCTCATTTGATAACTAATTTCTACGTATAGGTTTGTATTAAAACAAATTCATGCATATCCATCAGTTTGATTTTTTAATTATTTTTGTAATAATAACATTTGATATATCGACTGTTTTAAATAATTTTATTACTAAAATGTTCGCCATAATGAGACGATTCTAACGAGCTCAAAATCATCCAAATCTAATTACAGGAACTTGAGACATTCACGTGCTAAATAGCGACGCACCTTTCAATGTGGAACGATTGGTTGAACATAGTCTATACTATGTCTAACCAATCGTTCCACAGTAAGAGGTGCGCCATTATTTGACATATGAATATCTTATGATCCTGCAATTAGATTTGGGCTCGTCCAGAATCTCATAATGACGAACATTTTGGTAATAAAATTATTTAAAATAGACCAATATATCAAAAGTTATTATTACAAAAATAATTAAAAATAATATACTTGTTTTAAAAATCAAACTGGTGGATATGAATACCTCAAAAGTTTTGAACGTATCATTATGATGTGACGCGTTTAAAATTATCATTCATTACCTCGATAAAAAAAAGAATAATAATAAGACGGATTTTCAGCTTATACAGTACTTCGAAGATAATAATTTATCTCATCGGTTATCAAAATCCCCATAAAAATCTTCAAGAATGAGAATTAATTAGAAAATTTGGTAAATGTCCAGCTTGTGAAGGACTAGCTAATGAGAACCAAAAAAGGCCAGCTGAAGATCATAATTAAACATAAACTGCATAGCATGTAAAATGTTTAAGAAATTCAATAAAGATATTGTGATTTAATAAGTGACAATGAAAAAGTTGGAACTTTGAACTGTTGATCTTTTTAATGTCTTAGAGTAAATCACTTATTTACACTTATTACTGCTTACAGGTTCATAAGTTGTTAAATTGGAACACATACAGTATTTGTACACAAGATTTCGTCGTTCGCACCCTGAAAACCAAGAAATGTGTACCAGGTTGGGTTCGGATAATTGCCCGGATAATCACTCTGATCTGATGATCACCCGAATGATCAGAAAATTGAGCAATTCCGATTTTTTTTTTGCATTTATTTTTTATCGCCATAACGATGTATCGCTACCCCCTGAGACTTTGTTGTCGCGTTGCGTAATGTCGGAGTTTCAATATTCAAACTCTGCTCATGGATATTCTATAGAATAGGTGGGCAATATAAAAAATAAGATTCGCTAATGATTAGTAATCATTAATTTTTTAATTGCGTAGCTTGCCCACCTATTCTATAAAACATCTTAGATGGGATATATAGATTACTAATCATAAGCGGTGTTTGAATATTGAAACTCCGACATCACGCAACGCGACAATTAAGTTTCAGGATTTTGATTTTCGGATTTTTGATTTTCGGGATTTTGATTTGACTTAGACATGGGTAACGATACACCCCTTTTTTTTCAAAATTTGAAATTTCACAATACGGTAGTTCGGTAAGAAGTGTCATGTGTTCTTAAAACATAGCAATTTTTTATAACAACCTTTTTCTTCTAGAACTGTCAGGTCGCTATAGAAAGAGTTGACTGTATAAAAAAAAATTTTTTTATTAATACTGAGCTTTTTTCAATTAAATAATCAATATTTCATATGCCTTACAACGTCTATACAATGCTACAGGCTTTCGTTCTAAACTATATTTTTTTAATCGCTATTTTTTTTTTTTTTTTGACGTTTTTTTTGACAAATTACGTCAAGTGAATTATAAGTTTTTAACTTAAATGCCGCAGAACAATTCGTGTTCCTAATTTTCAAACTACCGGTATATGGTCTTTAATTTCGTGTTTATTTTTTTGCTTTACTAAATAAATTAATGCCCCATCTTTCTAAAAATGACTTTGGTTCTTTAGCCTGATAAATTCTGATTAGGTGCATTGCGTTGTTGATTTTTCTTGAAACTTGTGAACTCACTTCAAAGCATCTATATCCATTAGTATTAATGCTCATCAGTTATCGCATTTTCCGAAGTAATCTTAGGTACTAATTCATCATAGCTCTCAACACTTATGGATCTGTAGAAGTACACGTGACCTCGTTAATATCAACCTAAACTACGAGCCAAATTTTTATATATCAAAATTCCCTCATATATATCAACTTTACTATGATCCCTTATTAATTTCTGAATATAAGAGTGATCCAAATGGGTTGATATTAGCGAGGGTCAAGTGTATTTGTTGGAGTGGGGTAGATTCAATATATCCATTGTTTGTTTAGGTTCTAATTTATATTGTAGCTTTAGCTTGCAGCAACGATTTAAAATATTAAAAGACGTATCTGTAACGAACTTCGCATCTTTTTTTGCAAAAAAGAAAAAAAATTGAAAATAAGAAATTTTTAGAAATACTGTATTATTAATCATATGAATTCCTTTTTGGAATTGTACTAAAATATATATAATTTGCCATTTTTTTAGTAGTGAAACCAAAATGTTCATCTTGATGAGAATTCTAATGAGTTCAAAATCATCAAAATCCAATCACTAGATTACAAGATAAAGCCATTGAACCTAGCTGCCGCACCAAATTTGTCACGGATTGGGCCTGCATTACATAATTTTGGCCGAAATTAACTTTTTAACTTTTTCGTTCCTAAAATGGAAATTTTTAGAGAAATAGGCCCGGACAATGACAAAATTAACCCAGGAATATTTTTTACTTAATGTGCAGCTGTGGTTTCATTAGTAAAATTTTGAGTAACTTCGGCCTAAATTTTTG